CAAAATAAAATTCTTGAAAATAAAAATACATAAAAATAAAAAAATACAAAGATTTATAGTGGTTCGGTCCAACTAGACCTATGCCCACTCCCTAAAGACTCCCTCTTTAGGTATTGTACTATTACCTAAATGACTCTCCATTTGCTCTCAAAGCAAGGTAAAGAAGCCTTTACAACTACCCTCTCTTCCATCAATCCATGGTGAAGTATAGTATCATCATCCTTTCATACACTCCAAGTGTCAGCAGAGAACAATCATCCTTTCACACTCTCCAAGTGTCGGCAGAGAAATTTCATCCTTTCTCACTCTCCAAGTGTTGGCAGAGAATCGGCATCCTTTTACACCCTCCTAATGTCAGCAAAAAATCAGATCTTCTTTAAAAATCTTCCCTCGAGAGTCTTCAAAGAAGTAAAGAAGATTTTTGCAAAAAACATAAAGAGATTCTCACCTTTGAGAAATCTTATGAACCCTTCATACTCTCAATTTGTAAGAACTCTCTCACAAACACTCTCCTAAATCACTCTCACACTTTTGCTATCAAGAGAAATAAAGAAGGATTCATCCTAAGTCAGTTTTAAGAACTTTATGTATGAAAGACATGAAAAACTGCCTAGAAAATAGAAAATTTCAATTATAAGCATCCACGACCATACAGTACGAATGACGATTGTACCATACGAATAGTTTAAAATTTGCTCATATGATCTTATACGAAACATTTTCATACAAGCTGATCGTACAGTATGAAATTGATATCTTACATTACGAACAGTTATAAAAAATTTCCTATTCATATGGATGAAAGGATAGCCCATATTTTTCGTACTCAACATGTCGTCAGTTCGTCCCGGATAAACAATTCACAATGTTTTCGTACTCTGGATGTCATCTGTATGAACTCCAGATCGTCCTGGACAAACAGTTCAAAAAGTTTACCTATTCGTATGAACAAAAATGTTTGCATCATTTTTGTGCTCTAGACATCATCTTTATGAAGCCAACTATGTACAATTTGAATAGTACTTAGAAATTATTTTTTACATTCATGATTCGATTAATTGCTTTCTGGAGGAAATAATTGATCAAATTGTCTCGTACGATACGACATTGTACAGTACAATTAGTTTTTTTTAAATAATTAATTTTAACACTCCCCCGGTGTGTGTGTGTGTGTGTGCATGATTACCCAATTATAATCTCACTCTTTTAAACTCAATAAAAATATAAAATATAGACTTCATTTATAAAGAACCCTAATCTAATCTGATTTGAAGTCTTCAACAGTCAGAAGTATGATTTTCCTAAAATATTACTACATACAAATAATAACTATAATATATCCAATATATGTTAGGAGAAATAGAAGTTAAAATAATAATATTTGGAGTCATCCAAAACATCCATGATATGAAAATATACTTATGAAAACTATGTTGCAACAATCTCCCCTTTTTTGTGATGGAAAAATAATTATTGTTTGATTAACATTTAAAGCAAAAATTTCTCCTTAGCTCCCCCTAAATAAAAGACCAATGTAAATCTAGGAATTCCCATGAATATAAAAAAACCCTAAAAATAAAAAATAAAAAAATGCAAAAGCAAAATAAATTCGAACAAAAATGCGAACACAAAACACAAACATGAATGAACACTCAAAAACATACACATAAAAAATATACACATCACACAACAACCATCAATCAATCAAACATACACAAAAAATATCAATCAATCAAACAATATTATTACTCCCCATTTTGACAACAACAAAAAGGAAAGTAGAACTTGAAATGAAAGGGTCTCAATAGATAAACATAAAGAATTGATTTAGAAAGTATTTTTAAACTAATTGCAATTACAATATTAATTCAATAATACTAAAAAGGAAATTTTTAAAATTTTAAATTAAAAAATAACTAAGATAAGAAAAGTTAATCAAGGTTATGATTCATGCTAGATAAATTAAGTAAAGATGATTATTGCAAAAATGATGAAATAAAAAATTAGTTAAATTCAAGTACAATATAGAATAGAATTATTAATTTGATTAATTTGGATTATAGATTAAATGATAGTGGAATGAACACAATCAAAAATAATTTCAATTTGCAATATTGCACATCTTTTCAAATATTTGTGGTATACTTTGTGCATCTTTTCTATTTGAGCTAATTTTGTGTCTCTTTTCACTTTGCGAATCATTGCTTATTATTTTAATTTTTGCACCCATTGTGCATTTTCTTTTGATTTACTTTTTAGGACTTTCCCAGATGAATAATCTAAATTTAAATTTCACTAATAACAAAAATAAGCATACTGAAAAATAGATAATAAATAATAAGACATTAATATTACAATAATAATATTCTAGTTATGTTTGCCTAAAAAGAAAATGAAATTAGTCTCCTTACCTAAATCCAGTTATAATCTAATTTAAAATTTTGAAAGATTAGATTTTCATAAGGAAACTAATTTGTAAAGCAAAATAATTTATAACCCATTTTCATGATTAATTTCAAAATGATTTTTCTTATAAATCATACTAGCATTTCAAAGAAAAAGAAACAAATACAAGTTTCCAAAACATGACATTTTCCATTGATATCAAAAGGATCAAATACATTCATTTCACGAATATCAACTAGAACAAAACACATCATCATTACATAAAAACATAACAACAAACAACAAACATTACTAACATGAAAGAAAATACATCATAACATCACTTGCAAAAGCTCGGTAGAAACAACATCAATGAAGTACATCCAGAACTCAGAGGGGCCTTAATATGGTGGAGGCTGGTTGAACACTGAAAAATAACTATTTTCTTTTTTAGCACCCACTTAGTTCCAACAACACTTTGATCATTTGTCCTTTCTATCAATTCTTAAACATCATTTCTTATAAATTAATTGAACTCTTCATACAATGCTAAAATTAAAAATTCATCTGAAAGTGCTTGATTAACATTTATGGGTTCAATCATTGATATAAAAATAGAATAGTTAACCTCTTGCTAAATCCATGTCTAGTCCTAACACCCTCACTAGGTTCACCAAAAATTAATTCTTTAGGATAATTTTTAGAAAATTTCAATTCTCTAGCCAAAAGATTTTCAATTTCCATATTCTCTTCCAAATCAATCGTTTTTATTCTTTGGGGGTTATTTTCAATATGATCCTCTTTCAAACATGGCTCTTCCAAATTGCTAGATTTATTAAACAAAATATGTGTGATCTCCTCAATAACCAAAGTTTTTTTTATTAAAAGCTCTATAAGATTTTTCAACACTAGAGTATCCAAGAAAAATTCTTTCGTCACATTATGGATCAAATTTTCCTAAATTAGATTTTTTATTATTATGAATGAACACCTAACATCCAAAAACATGCAAATGTGATAAATTTGATGCTCTATCCTTAAGAAGCTTATAGGATGTCTTATTCAATTTTTATCTAATATTCACCTCAGAACATAACAAGTTGTACTAATCACTTCAGCCCAAAAATATTTTGAAAGCGAATACTCTACCAATATGGCTCTAACGACTTCAATTAATATTTTATTCTTTCTTTTGACCACTCTACATGTTAAGGGGTCCTAAGTATTGAAAAATTGTGATCAATTCCTTTCTCTTTACAAAACTCTTCATATTTTTTATTTTAAAATTGACCTCCATAATCACTTTGAATTGATAATATTTTACATCCTAATTTTCTCTGAATCCAAGTCAAAGAATTTCTAAATTCCACAAATAATTCACTCTTTTAAAATTAAAATATAACCGAAATGAATTTAGAAAAATCATCAACAATCACAAATCTATATACCTTACCTCCTAGACATATAGTGCTAACAGGTTCAAAAAAATCTATATGTATAATCTCCAATGATTTGTTAGTTCTAAAATCCTTAATGCAATGAAAAGAGGACTTCACCTATTTTTTTAGTTGACATGTATTATACAAGTGATCCTTAGTAAAATCTAATTTTGGTATGCTTATAATAAGTTCTTTTTGGAAAATTTTTCTAAGATTTTTTATGCTAGCATGACAAAATCTCCTATACCATAACCAAGATTCATTAGAAATTGTTTTCAAATAAAAAGTATTAGGAGATTTAAAATAATGTAAATCTAGTATATACACATTATTTACTCTAGTTCCATACAATACATCATTTCTAAGTCTAAAAATTCCTTTTTGAACCACTAAATTTTCCATAAAAGCCAATCTTCTGAATTTGGTTTACAAACTTTGATTAATTCCTCTAATTGTCACGTAGCAATGGAGCAACTAATCTTGGACAAGTATTTCTTGCTAAGCTTTTGGGTATGGGTTCTTCTATGAAAACTAATTAAATAATTGCAAGAAATTAAAAATGACATGAATAAATATACATCACCCAATTGCGACTACCATTGCCACCCACAACTCCATAATATTCTTCTAGCACAAACCTCTACCTACCATTATCTGTCATAGTTCAATACATTTAAAATAAATCATGATAAATATTTTAAAAATATTACAAACCATTCAATTTGCATCCAACCAAATAGTTTATAAATTTTTAAAATACAAACATTTTAATTTTAAACATATCCAGCCAAACAGCGCATTCTACAAAATAATTTCAAAGAAATGAGTGAACTAAAATTGAAATTTGGAAATTAGTAAATCTCATAGTTTACCTAGTCTAAAATAAAAATTCTTGGCAATTTATACAAAAATAAATATTCAGCTTAAACGTTCTGCGGACAAAGCTTTGGATGAGGTCTCTTCATTGTCGGAACATAATTAAAAAAAAAAGAGAGAAATATTTCGAATATAGTGAACCTTATTATTCCCTAATCAAAGACTAGAATAGTAGAAAATTTATTAAAAAAAAAAAAACAGCTAAAGCGTCCTGGGTTGTTAATGCTTTTTTTCAACTTAAGTTAATATCTAAATATTTATAGCCATCCTGAAACTAAAGCTTTCCATCATCGCTCACCATTTACAAAGCATAATATGAAAATGAGAAATTAAGAACTCCAAATCCGTCAGCTAGGATGGAGAAAATGATTGTACACATTATTTTCGGTAATGACATCTATATATATGAACCCAACATGAGAAAAAAATGTTATTAATCAATCATTTTTGCCGATTCAATGGAATAAATGAAACATCAAGCAAATAATGAGAACAGTGATAAATTTTCCAATATCCAAGCTTCTGGCAGTGGAAGATAAATTATGGGCATCAACAGTGTAAATTGCTCCGGTTTTCTCATCATGAATTTTAATGCTTGATGAACCTGAAATCAACACCAAACATATTAAATAGTAATTCAAATAATTATATCAATGTACATATATGCAATGAATATCACCAAATGTTTCAGAAGGCTATTTTTTAATCATATCATACAGCAATAACAATAAGTATTTATCCCACTACGTGGAGTTGGTTACATGAATCCTATATTCTCAATTGTATCCAATTAACGGTTAATTTATTTAAATTTAATAAAGAAATGCCATTTCTAAAATTTTCTAACCAAGTCTTTTTAAGTCTACCACTATCTTTCCTAACATAAGTCAAATCTAATAAATATACTCTCCTAATCAGGTCATAAGAAGCCTGTCGTTTTATATGACAAACCCATCTAAAATGATTTTCTCTAATCTTATATTCCACTGGAGCTTTCTTTATTGTCACCTACATCCAAAAATCTTTGGTACATACTTTGCTCATAAGCAATGAAAGAGCCTAGTAAGTTGTCAATAGAGTACATATTCAAATCGTTGGATTCACATATTCCATTGACTTTAGCATCAAAATTATCAGGCAAATAGTGTGAAATCTTAATTTCTCAGAGTTAAATAGTTCCCTTCCTAAAGCAAGCAAATATATCACTATCTTGATAAACCTAGTATAAATGTCAAATACAATTTTGCTAGGTTTCAAGCGAAAGAGTTCGAATTCACACAACAATAAATTTAGACGAGATTATTTCACTTCATTTGTACCTTCATAAGTAATACAAAGCCTACCCTATATCTCCTTACGAGTAGAATGAGTAGAAAACGTATATAATTCTCAAAATTTAAAGCAAAAAATAATAATAATAATAATTCAAGCACGTCACATTTCGTTGTGTAAGATCCCTATCATCTATACTTGATACATTAAATGTAATTTCGATTTTAACACCATTAACAATGCGAAAAGAAACATAATATACAATTTGTATCATATGACACATTTTATAGTCAATTGAATATAAAAATGTAGACATGCAAATTTTTAAGAAATCAAATGAGGTATCAAATAATAGTGAACGGCTTATTGAATAACCCTCTAGTTGCAAAGGGGTCGATTTATTTGCTGGCCAAATCCCAATATTCTTTTCATTAACATATAGCTCAAATTTCCAAAAATAAATAGCAATGACATATCACATAAGAACAATATATGCACAAAGAATTACAGTCACTGGCATGAGGCTTATGCCTCACGCTAAATATATTAAAACTTACATAAATCTTTTAGTAAATGCTCGACATTGGACTCTAGAGGAGAGGAGGAAGGGGAGAGAGTAGTTCATCATAATGATGATTCAAATGAAGAACCCCTTAGTGATGACAATGCTGATGATTTATGAGTTCTTATGTGATATGTCATTGAGGCGTTTTTTACTAGAGGCGTAAGCATTGAGGCGCAAGCCTCATAAAAAAAACTAGAGGCGTAAGCATTGAGGCGTTTTTTACTCGAATTGCGCAAAGGCGAGCCTCATATTGCGCAATTTTAAACCATGTGTGCACGTGACTGTAATTCTTTGTGCATATATTGTTCTTTTTATGCAGTGAACATTTGAGATAATATAATAATCTTTCGGTGTTGATTGAAAATCTTGTGTCGTTGATTATAAGCATGGGATTACGTTTCCATCTGATCGTTGCTTGTAAGCGAATGATGTTTAGAATAACATGCCCTCCGTTGTCTTAAAAAATAGCTTATAGTTCACAACGCATTTGTTTGTGGATGCTCACATTTCAACTATCATGATAATCTCACTACAAGTTTTGATTTAATTGCTTGGGATTATGTTCAACACAAGTTTCCCATTCATCATGGGTCCCTCACATCTCATTTATGAAAGTGCCACCCATCCAACTCTCTCTTTATTTACGTAAGAGCATGATTGAGGTACGTTGTTTGCATTCATGACGTACATCACATTTAGTTCAATTGACTGTTATTGCAAGCGAATTTTATACGTAATTTTATTCACCATGATTTTCTCATTTGCACATTTGAGTTTGATTTACATTGTAAGCTTAAATTTCATTCCGAGTGTTAAGTCCTATTCCCACCTGTCCAAATCAAGTTCCTATAGTTCACTTAATGTTCAATCCATGTCCTATGTTATTTATGTAAGTTCTCTTGTTAGTTCATTCAGTTCAATTTTGCAAGGTCCTGCTATTTACTTGAGTTCGAATATGATTCCCTGTAATTTTCTTAAGTCTTGTGCGTCTTCAGATCGAATTTCGACAACCTTCTGGCATCTTTCCCGTTTAGGGGAAACTATAGGAGTCTTAGACTGCCCGCCAAGTCAAGAAAGATGTGACGGTTGGTGTAGGGTGACACCGCAATTTTAGTATTCAACCCCCAACACACCACTGAAGGCGTGCATGGGCATTTTAAAGTACCTGTTTTAAAATGCAGTTGCTTTCCCCGCCATGCTATGAGAGCGTATACGGGTACTTAAATTTTTCCCTGCCGCACTAAGAAAAGTGCGCACAAGGCTCACCTGTCTCGTCGTAAACATCGCACCGAGTTCCCTCCCACCACGCTAAGAAAAGCGTGCATAGGGGGTCCCTCGGCGTGCTTCGAACGCCAAAAGGACTTTTGAAGATTTTCTGCTTCGTCGCGAGCACTACAACAAGCTTTCTCTCACCGCTATAAGAAAAATGTGTATAGATGGTTGCTAGCTGCGACGCAAGCATTGAAAGCGGGATCTTGAAGTTTAAAGACTGTTATATCATTTGCGAGAGGTGACGACTACGTCGAAAATGTGCACGTGAATAAAGGGACAAAAATATATTTTTCCCTCTTTTTTTCTGGATTTTCATTTTTATTTTTTTCTCTTTTTTTTTTCATTTCTCTTCCTATAAACATACTAAATTTGACAACAACAATAATCATCTAATAAAATGCTAATAATGTTAAACACACTGATTAGCATTGATGAGTGATGCTAATAATGAACTGAATAAATGAGGATAAAAATAAAAAAGAAACTGATCGGGTTGATTTGGATTTTGGATGGGCTGGGTCTTGGGTTCGGTGTAGTAGATGTGAATAGGGAGAGGGACATCGTGTTTAAAGAGGGCTAGGGCAAGGATGTTGGGGCTCGACTATTTACGTGAGTAGGAAGCCTTGGGGGGGGGGAGGGGAGATCCGCTTGCTGTAAAGCTCAGTTGAGGAGGGTGATAGAGGATATGAGAAATCGAGCTAGGCCTTGCGGCTTCTAGTGGGCATAGAGGGAGATCGGGGTTGAGCCGAATCATATAGGTGAGTCGGCGGCTTGAAGCCTTGGTCGGGTCTGCTATTCAAATAGGTGAGGGCTTAGAATGGAAGAGAAGAGCGGCAGCGATAGGCGTGAGGTTCTGAAAGCTATAGAAAGAGGGAATGGAGGTGGTTGGAGGCTTGTAGAGTTGGATTGAGACATCAGATCAGATATATCTGCGGCTAAGGAGTCAGGTCTGCGGCTTTAGGGAATCAAAAGCAGCGACAGGTTGAAGCTTCGACAGCTGGTGACGTGGGTTGAGGTTCGTGTAAGAGAAGGCGAGAAGAGGAAAGTCGTTTGTGTGCTTGAGGTCTGCGGAGGAAAAACCTGAAGGCTTTATTTTGCTTGGGTTTTAACAACAAGAATAGCAGAGTCGAGAGAGAGAACGCGTACACAACTCTCCTTGGCCTATTGGTTGAGAGCTAAGGCTTCCAACTAAGAGGTCTAAGGTTCGAGTCTATGTGTATGCATTGTGTGTGTGAGTTTGCCTTAAATGGCCTAAATGTCCCCAAAAAAAAAGAGAGAGAACGCGTGATACGATGTTTCTTCGGTGCCATTGCAGAGGGTACGTACTGTAGCTGCAGCAGGTATGGGCTGAATTTGCGCAGGATTCAGGAGCAGGTTCAGAGGTAATCATTTCAAGCATTTTTTATTTATTTATTTTGTTCCTTTAGCTGTAATATGGAGGTCAACATTGTGATTGTTAAAGCCCACTTGAAGTACAACAGCACATCAAAATGGGGTGAATTGATATTTTATTTTTTTTCCAAGAATCTCTTCTTTGAAAAACTTAAACCAAATTCACAGCTATAACTTTAAAACAAATTTTCTCAAGTGGAAGCGAACAATAAGAAAAATTAAATACTAATTTTTTTAATTTGGTAGAAAAATAAATAGCAAAAGATTTTTCTTCCCTTTTTTTTAGATTTTTGCTTATTTTTCTTTACTAACAAAACTTAAATAAAAACCAATCACAAGATTTTAAATTCGGATTTGCAAGAAGGCAATCGTGCAAGAAAAAAAATGCAAAAAAATATAGTACTGAAAAACAAGAAAAAAATGTCAAATTTACAGTAGTTCGGTCAAACTTAACCTACATTCACTCTTCAGAGTCCTCTCCGAGAATTGCACTAAACCATTTAGTGTATGTTATTTTGCCCCCACATAAGGCAAAGAATCCTATACAAGATTTTCTTCCACCAACCCGTTGCGGTGAATAACTGAATCTCTTTCACCTTCTCGGTGCGGCGAAGTAGTCGAATCCATTTCACCAAATTTGGTGCGGTAGAATAGTCAAGCCCTTTAACACCAAAGATGTCTTTTTCCCAAAGCTTCCCTCAAGATAGACCTTGACTCATGGAGGAAATAAGGTGCAAGTTTGCTAGAGTAACCATGTGAAAACACCCTCTCACACTCCCTTGAAACCCACATGGATCTTCTCCCTCTCTCTTAAACTTCAATCTTTCTCTCCCTAACTCAAAACCCTCTCTTCAACGTTTTCTCACATAATACATAACCAAATGACTTCAAAAAGACTTCTCCAAATGAAATTAGCAAAGTTAAATATTAGGCTCTAAGAAAAAGCTAATTTTCAATTCAGATGTCATTGTTCGTACAGTACGATTAGTTCAATTCTCTTGTAGTACTGTATAATTAATAGTACACAGGATGATCAGTTAAAGCCGATTAACTAATCATATTGTACAATTGAACAATAGTACAGTATGGTTAGAATGACTCAT